GGATCAGATAGGTGCTGCTTTGCATGCTTTGTATGCTGACGCTTCTAGTGTTGATGGATCTTACTACCATGTGTACTCTAGTTTAGGTGTTTCACCCTTGTGTAGCTTAGCTTCCCCTGCTGCGACAGGCGTAGGACTGCCTAGGTTGCCTAGTCTAGTCGCTGCACCGGCTCCGTCCGCGGCCTCCGCCACTGCGTCGCTGTCCTTCACTCTCGACTCTGGTGCTTCTGCCTGCTTCTTCCGCGACCGTTCCACGCTCACGCCGCTTGCTGCACCTGCTGTTGTCTCTCTCGCTGACCCCTCTGCGGGTCCGGTCGTCGCGCGCAGTTCTACGTCCCTTCCCTGTCCGGCAGTTCCCTCGGGCTCCCTTACTGGCCTCCACGTTCCCTCGTTCTCCAGGAACCTGGTTGGTGTCGGCTGTCTCCAGGACCTCGGCGTCACCACCACGTTCCCCGGGCACGAGCGGTTCGCTGTCTGTTCTGAGGCTGTCTCAGGTTCCCCCCTTGCGACGTTCCCCCGGGACCCGGTGTCCGGTCTGTTTACCCTACACACCGCTTCCCCCCCGGTTGGTGCGTCCTCCCAGGTCGCTGCAGCTTGCTCGTGTCGGTCCCTCACTCACCCCTCCCTTCTCTGGCACCACCGCTTAGGTCACCCTGCTCTCCCGCGTCTGCGTCACATGTCCCAGCACGGTCTTGTCTTAGGTCTCCCCGCGTCGCTCCCTGCCCTTCCTCCCTCGACTGCGCCACCGTGCACGCCTTGCGTCGAGGGTCGGCTCCGCCGTGCTCCTCACTCCTCCTCGCTGCGCCCAGCTACTGCCCCCCTTCAGACCCTGCACTTGGACGTTTGGGGCCCTGCCCCCGTCCCCGGACCGCGCGGTGAGCGCTACTTCCTTGTGCTCGTTGACGACTACACGCGCTACACCACGGTGTTTCCCCTGGAGCGGAAGGCCGACGTGCCCGACGTTCTTCTCCCGTGGGTTGTAGCTGCGCGTCTCCACCGCGGTCTCCCCGTGTTGTGTCTCCACTCCGACCGTGGCGGCGAGTTCGCCTCTGGTCGGCTTGGACAGTTCTGTCGTGCGGAGGGCATCACCCAGTCGTACACCTTGCCGGACTCGCCACAGCAGAATGGGGTTGCTGAGCGCCGCATCGGCTTGGTCATGGAGGTCGCCCGTACCTCCATGATCCATGCCGATGCCCCCCATTTTCTGTGGCCGTTCGCTGTTCGCTACGCGGCTCACCAGCTTAACCTGTGGCCACGCTCCCAGCGGCCGCAGGTTTCGCCGACCCTCCTTTGGACCGGGTCCCCCGGTGACGCGTCTGCGTTCCACGTCTGGGGCTGCCTTGCTCACGTTCGTGCCTCTGGCACGGACAAGCTCACTGCCCGCACTGTCCCCTGTGTCTTCCTCGGTTTCCCCCTGGACTCGTCTGACTGGCTTTTCTACCACCCGCCGTCTCACCGCTTCCTCCACTCTCGTGACGTCACCTTTGACGAGTCCGTCTCCTTCTACCGCCGCTTCCCTCACCGAGGTCTCCCAGTTGCCCCCCCCTTTTCCTTGCTCCCTCTCCCCCGGTAGCCCCTGCCCCTCTCCCGCCTCGTCCTGCCCCGTCTGGTGTCTCCCACGTCACTCCCCTCCCGTCGGTTGTCCCCGTTGAGGAGTCTGCTGACTCTGGTGGTACCCCCGGTCCGTCCTTGCCGCGTCCCCCTTCCCCAGTGCCTCCGCCCCCACTGTCGCAGTCGCCGACCCCGCTGCCGCCGCCGTCGCCGTCGCCGCCGCAGCCGTCGCCGCTGTCGCCGCCACTGCCGCCGCTGCTCTCGGCCCCTGGGGGTGCTGGTGTGGAGGAGGGTGTTCGTCCTGCGGCTTCTGGGGGTGCCGCTGGTGTTGGAGGGGGTTCTCGCTCTGGGGGTGTTGGTTCTGGGGGTGCTGCTGTTGAGTGTTCTGCCGACGGTCGTTCTGCCTCTGCTGGTCCGAGAGTTCCGGCCCAGCCGTCGTCGCCGCCACAGCAGCCGTCGCCGCCGGTTTCCGCTCTCCGCCTGCTCGGCCTTCCCTCCCCGGACCGCGCGCCGGTGTCTCCCCCACCGCCTCCTGACCTCCCTGTCTACGGTCCTGTGTTCCCGCCGCCAGACTCGTCTCCGGCCCGTCTTCCTCCTCGTTCCCCTCCTGTGTCTCCTCCGCTGTCCCCTGACCCTACCCCTCCGTCTCACGTTTGGGCTCGCCGTCCCTCCCGTGCCCGTCCCGTCTCTCCTGTCCTGCCCACCCACCCTATGTTGCTCCGTTCTCACTCGTCTCGTCCTCCCCTCCTCCCGTCCCCTCCTCCCTCGTCCCTTGCTGTTGCACCTCCTCCGTTCTCTGACTACCTCCGTGCTGCTCGTCCCCTTGTCCCTCGGGTCCTTGCCTCTCTTGTTACCGACCCTGCTGTTCCTGTCTCGCGCCTTGACGCGCTTGTCGCTGCTGTCGCTGACTTCGCTTCTACCCGCCGCCTTGACTACGCTACCGCTTTGGTCTCTGACCCTGCCCGTCCTCTGTCCGTCGGGGGTGCTCCTGCCCTTGGCAGTGACGTCCTAGAGGACAGGCAGTACGAGCTGGCTTTCCTTTCCGAGGCTGCTCCCCATCTCTGCTCCATGCTGTTAGTCCCTGAGGGTGACCCAGACGCCTTCGACATCCCGACCCCTCGCACCTACGCTGAGGCCACCTCGGGACCTTGGGCCTCTCAGTGGATAGCTGCCATGGAGCAGGAGATGGCATCTTGGAGATCCACCGGCACTTACGTCGACGCAGTTCCCCCGCCTGGGGTGAACGTAGTCGATGGTCGGTGGCTCTTCAAGGTGAAGCGCCCCCCTGGAGAGCCGCCTGTCTTCAAGGCGCGCTACGTGGCCAGAGGTTTCAGTCAGCGCGAGGGGGTTGACTTCTTCCAGACCTTCGCCCCGACCCCGAAGATGACCACTCTTCGGGCGCTGCTACACGTAGCAGCACAGCGTGACTACGAGCTTCACTCTCTCGACTTCTCTACTGCCTTTCTTCAGGGCAGCCTACACGAGCAGGTCTACCTGCGCCGACCACAGGGCTTCACTGGTACCTTCCCTCCTGGGACCCAGTGGCTTCTCAGGCGCCCGGTCTACGGCCTGCGTCAGGCTCCCCGCGAGTGGCACGACACGCTACGTGCCACGTTAGCAGACCTGCAGTTCTTTCCGTCCTCTGCTGACCCTTCACTGTTTGTGCGTTCCGGCCAGACTCCGTTCTACATCCTTGTCTACGTAGACGACCTGGTCTTCGCTACTCCTGACAGGGACGCACTGGCCTCTGTGAAGGCTGAGCTGCTGAAGAGACACACCTGCACTGACCTTGGAGAGCTGCGTCGCTATCTTGGCCTGCAGATCTCTAGGGACAGAGCAGCACGCACCATCACTCTGACCCAGTCACACTTGGTGCGTCAGGTCCTTCAGAGGTTCGGTCTTCAGTTCTCCTCCGCACAGCCCACACCTCTACCCGTAGACCATGGGCTCTCTGCTCCCGTTCCTGAGGAGCCAGTAGAGCCCAGTGGCCCCTACGCAGAGCTGGTGGGTTGCCTCATGTACCTGATGACTTGCACTCGCCCAGATCTCGCATACCCTCTCAGCATCCTGGCTCGCTTTGTGGCTACAGGCAGACACCGACCTCAGCACTGGTCTGCCGCTAAGAGGGTTTTGCGTTATCTTGCTAGTACATCAGGCATGGGGTTAGTGCTAGGAGGACGCAGGCCAGTGGTCCTTACTGGGCACACAGACGCTTCTTGGGCAGACGACGCTGAGACGCTCAGGTCGTCGCAGGGCTACTGTTTCAGCCTTGGTTCGGGTGCTATCTCTTGGAGATCCACTCGCTCGTCGTCTGTGGCTCAGTCTAGCTGTGAGGCTGAGATCTACGCTGGTGCCATGGCGGCACAGGAGCTCCGCTGGCTGACCTTCTTGCTCACAGACTTAGGTGAGCGGCCTAGCTCTGCCCCGGTCCTGTACGCTGACAACAGGGCCATGATACTCCTGTGTCAGGAGCCTCGGCTTGAGGGCAGAGCGAAGCATATCCAGCTGCGGTACTTCCTCCTGCGCGAGCTACAGCAGCGCCGCCAGGCCCGCGTAGTTCACTTGGCCTCAGGTGCCAACACAGCTGATATCTTTACTAAGGCGCTTGCACCTAAAGATCATCAGCGGCACTGTGTACAGCTTGGTCTTGTTCCTATAGCTGCTCCCCTGTTAGGATACTGATTGTGTACTCTCTATTATATATGCTTGTCAGACTGGCCTTGTGGCCTTACCTCCAGTGGCTGGACTAGTAGTGCCACCCTGGCTTGCTTCAGTTTTGGTTGTATTCTTGCTGACTGGTCTCCAGACCCCTGCCTCAGTGGTTGGACTAGTAGTGCCGCTCTGAGCTGTTTGCTTCTTGTTTAGTTTCACCCCTTGTCTAGCCTAGGGGGTGTGTCAACTTATACATATTATCTATGTAGAAGTTATAGGCTAGACTGAGGTATGCTTCTAGTGAGTACAACCAACTAGTATTTGTTCTAGGTTTCCACCTCTAGTAATCATTTCGTTTCTACGTTAACACCTATATCTTGGCTTGCCATTCCTTGTATCGTCATTCAGCGATTGAACACTTCGTTAATCATTTCCACGCTACTCTGCTTGTTCATTCATAACAGTAATGGAGTTCTTGGTGGTGTGGTGTTTGTGTTTGTGGGTACTTGGTCTATTAGTGTACTCTTGGCCCACTAGTTGTGCTCAACTACACGATTGTTATGATATGACAGGCTTATTCAGAACAAGTGCTTAGTTGAAGAGTCTTGGTCCATGCCTCACTTCGTTTCAGCACCAACACTCATGTCAACACCCCATAAGGAGGCGTGACGTTGATGATCCATAATTTGATGCGTTTGTTTGCACAGGTATAAAATGTAGCATCGAGTCGATTAGTGTAGATGTAGCACCTTACTGATGGTTGACATGACAGTAGTGGAATTGTTGTCCTCACTCACGCAATTGGGGGGGCAGACAAGCCCACACCAACTTACTCCTAATACCAGCGGACACGTGGCATCCATCCGCATCCCCTGCGCATCCGTCATGTTGCGTCGATTCGACGGCTCACATGAAGGCTCGACAATCTCGGGGCATCATCGGCATCACTCACACGCGCTCAAATCCCGTGCACTGCATATTCAGCGGCGACTCGTAGTCGCACCATACTTCGCCGCATTTCTCGCCGCCCTGTGCGGCGGCTCGCTCCTGCTCGCGCCACCTGCACCGCTCTTCGCCGCTGCCGCCAGTGCCGCTAGCAGCAGCAGCAGCAGCAGCGGGAATCCCGGCGCGGCGGGGAATGCAGCAGCGCGACTGAGGAGCCTGTACATGCTACCGGCCGTGGACGCGACGGGTCAGGTTCGCGCTCTAAGCGAGCTGCGCGGTACGGTGAGTGGGTGACGACGAGTGGCCACGCCTGCTCTACGTGGGTCTGTTCCACGTAGGTCTGCTCCAGGTGGGTCTGCTCCACATGGGTCTGCTCCGCGTGGGTCTGTTCGCTGTTTCTCTCGCGGGAGTGGGTTAGACCCGAGTCGTGCTGGCCGGGTGTGCACGAGCGATGGTTTCACCCCGCCTTGCCACACCTGATGCCACCACCTTCTCACCCTCCACCTCGACCACCCTCATTTTTCTCCCCTCTGCCCACCCGCCCACCCGCCCACCCGCCCACCCGCCCACCCTCCCACCCGCCCACCCGCCCGCCTGCCCGCCTTCATGCGTGCATGTGTCCCTCTGCGCGTCTGTGTGTGTGTGTGCATGCTTGGCGGCTCCCACCCCATCTTGGCGCGCGCCTGTGCGTCTGCGGGTGCAAGGGAGCAGGTGTCGCTGGTGGTGAACGTGGCCAGCGAATGCGGACTCACCAAGAGGGTATGCATGCCCTTTACACATCACTGCATGCATTGCTCTTAGGTCCCATCCTGTGCCACATAGCAGTGCATATAGATTTTCCACATGCACCTTCCCAACCAAACCAACTTTTTAACCCGTCATTGCCCCTATCCCCCGTTCCCTCCATGCTCGTCGCGCTTCCTCCTCATTCTCTCCCTCTCTTTCCACTTCTTCCCTCCCTCATTGCTTCTCCCCACCCCTCCCCTCCTCTCCTCTTCCCCCCCCCCCCCCCCCCCCCCTCCCCCCTCCCTCCCTCCCCCGTCCCCTCTTTGCTCAGAAATACGAGGATTTATCTGTGCTGCACAATTGCTAACAGAACTTCAAACATCATTCCCAGAAGAGCAGCAGTCTCAGGAAAACTTTTTAAACAGTAGGAAAACCAGTAGAAACCAAAAGCCCTCCCCCCCCCTCCCCCTGCCCTCCCCACACCACACGCCCCGTGCACCAGAACTACGAGGAGCTATCGTTGCTGCACAATCGCTTTGCGCCTCGCGGCTTCCAAGTGCTCGCCTTCCCCTGCAACCAGTTCAGCAACCAAGAGCCCAGTCAGTCACACACACAGGGGATACATACACAATGGCGATAGCAGACAAGCGGGCTTGTCTGGGCCAGCGGGTGTGCAGAGAAGCGCTCATTTGCTTGCTGGTGTGCGGGTTTGACTTGACCCGCGGGTTGTTGTCGTCGGAACTAATCCCGTGTTCTGCCCTACATTCCTTGGTATCTACCTCTCCTCCTCCCATCTTTCTCGACCTCTTACTCCACCCTTCTCTCCTCTCCTCCGCAACCTCCATCCCCCATGCCACGTGCCCCAGAGTCCAACGCTGATATCCTCTCCTTTGCCCGCACGAACCACTCTGCACCGTTCCGCATCTTTGCCAAGACGCTAGTGAACGCGCCCTTGGAGTGCACGGGCACGGAGGCAGCATGCGCGCCCAGCACCACGCGCTGCTGCCCGTCCAACAGCCTTGTGTTCGACCTGCTCAAGCAGCACTTCCCAGGCGACATCGAGTGGAACTTTGCCAAGGTGCGTGAGCTGTGCTCTGCTGGTTTTGTGATGGCTGCTGCTGATGCTGATGCTGCTTCTGTTGATACTGTCTTGCTTGGGCCTTGTTTGCTGCTTGAACACTTAGCCCTTAGCCCCCACCTCCCCTTCTTCCCCTCCCTCCCTCTGTTTCCCCAGTTTCTGGTGGGCAAGGATGGCATTACCATCCGCCGCTACGCGCCCACTGTCAACCCCCTAGACATTGCGCCGCACATTGAAGCAGCTCTTGCTGCTCCATCTCCCCGCCCTCACATCCACAGCTGGTGGGGATTCGGCGATGGCAAGGACGAGGGGCATGCAGATTTGTTGTAACCCACCCTCGTGAGGACTGGTATATGATAATGAGAACTGTTAAAATTATATCAGTTATATATAATTGATAGGCTTGTTAGTTGTTACCGAACCTTACTGTAGAAGGTACAATCTATCAAATTGAGAACTGAATGATGACTAGTGGGAGAGTATAGATAGATATACCTAAGTATTGTACCCTCTAAGAGGTGATCCTATACAGTCTATGCAAACATAACAAATACACATGTTTGACACACCCCCTAGACTGCAAAGGGGAATGTCCTGAACAAGCAGCTCAGGGCGGCACTACTAGTCCAACCTCTGAGACAAGGGTCTAAAAGACCAGTCAGAAGGAGTACAGACAAGGCAAGAACAAGATCAGGGCGGCACTACTAGTCCAGCCACTGGGAGAGGACACAAGTCCAGTCTGAGTATACATATAAAGGGCAGTACAAAGTCAAGGCCCTAGCAAGTGAGAGGCTACAGGGACTAGACCAAGCTGTACGCAGTGCCGCTGATGATCTTTAGGCGCAAGCGCCTTCGTAAAGATATCAGCTGTGTTGGCACCTGAGGCCAAGTGTACTACGCGAGCCTGGCGTCGCTGCTGTAGCTCGCGCAGGAGGAAGTACCGCAGCTGAATATGCTTCGCTCTGCCCTCAAGTCGAGGCTCCTGACACAGGAGGATCATGGCCCTGTTGTCAGCGAACAGGACCGGGGCAGAGCTAGGCCGCTCACCTAAGTCAGTGAGCAAGAAGGTCAGCCAGCGGAGCTCATGTGCCGCCATGGCACCAGCTTAGATCTCGGCCTCACAGCTGGACTGGGCAACAGACGAGGAGCAGGTAGCTCTCCACGAGACGGCACCTGAGCCAAGGCTGAAGCAGTAGCCCTGGGTAGACCTGAGTGTCTCGGCGTCGTCTGCCCACGAAGCGTTTGTGTGTCCAGTAAGGACCACTGGCCTGCGTCCTCCTAGCACTAACCCCATGCCCGATGTACTAGCAAGATAACGCAAAACCCTCTTAGCGGCAGATCAGTGCTGCGGTCGGTGTCTGCCTGTGGCCACAAAGCGAGCCAGGATGCTGAGAGGGTATGCGAGATCTGGGCGAGTGCAAGTCATCAGGTACATGAGGCAACCCACCAGCTCTGCGTAGGGGCCGCTGGGCTCAACCGACTCCTCAGACACTGGAGCGGAGAGTCTGTGGTCTACAGGCAGAGGGGTGGGCTGTGCAGAGGAGAACTGAAGGCTGAACCTCTGAAGGACCTGGCGCACCAAGTGTGACTGAGTCAGGGTGATGGTGCGCGATGCTCTGTCCCTGGAGATCTGCAAGCCAAGGTAGCGGCGCAATTCTCCAAGGTCAGTGCACGTGTGTCTCTTCAGCAGCTCTGCCTTCACGGAGGCCAGTGCGTCCCTGTCTGCTGTGGCAAAGACCAGGTCGTCGACGTAAACAAGGATGTAGAACGGAGTCTGGCCAGCACGAACGAAGAGTGAGGGGTCTGCGGAAGACGGAAAGAACTGCAGGTCAGCAAGCGTAGCACGGAGAGTGTCGTGCCACTCACGGGGAGCCTGGCGCAGGCCGTAGACGGGGCGCCGCAGGAGCCACTGGGTCCCAGGAGGGAAGGTGCCAGTAAATCCCTGAGGGCGACGCAAGTAGACCTGCTCGTGTAGGCTGCCCTAAAGGAAGGCAGTGGAGAAGTCGAGGGAGTGAAGCTCGTAGTCACGCTGAGCAGCTAGGTGTACGAGAACCCGAAGAGTAGTCATCTTCGGGGTCGGAGCGAAGGTCTGGAAGAAGTCCACCCCCTCACGCTGACTGAAGCCTCGAGCCACGTAGCGCGCCTTGAACACAGGCGGTTCTCCAGGAGGGCGCTTCACCTTGAAGAGCCAGCGGCCATCGACTACGTTCACCCCAGGCGGGGGAACTGCGTCGACGAAGGTGCTGGTGGATCTCCAAGATGCCATCTCCTGCTCCATGGCAGCTATCCACTGCGAGGCCCAAGGTCCCGAGGTCGCCTCAGCGTAAGTGCGAGGGGTCGGGATGTCGAAAGCGTCTGGGTCACCCTCAGGGACTAGTAGCATGGAACAGAGATGGGGAGCATCCTCGGACAGGAAAGCAAGCTCGAACTGGCGGTCCTGCAGGACGTCACTGCCAAGGGCAGGAGCACCCCCGACAGACGGAGGACAGGCAGGGTCAGAGACCAGAGCGGTGGCGTAGTCAAGGCGGCGGGTAGAGGCGAAGTCAGCGACCGCAGCTACAAGAGCGTCAAGGCACGAGACCGGAACAGACGGGTCGATAACGAGAGAGGCAAGGACCCGGGGAACAAGAGGACGAGCGGCACGAAGGAAGTCAGACAGCGGGGGGGGTGCAACAACAAGGGAGGACGGAGGAGGCGACGGCAGAAGGGGAGGACGAGACGCGTGGGAACGAAGCAACATAGGGTGGGAGCGCAAGACAGGCGAGGCAGGACGAGCGCGGGAGGGACGGTGAGACCAGACGTGCGACGGAGGAGTCGGGTCAGGAGACAGGGGAGGGGACACAGGAGGGGAACGAGGGGGAAGACGGGCCGGGGACGAGTCCGGCGGAGGGAACACAGGGCCGTAGACGGGAAGAGGAGGAGACGGACGGAGAGGAACAGCCGCAGGGTCAGGGGACGGAAGGCCGAGCAGGCGAAGGGCGGACACCGGCGGGGACTGCTGCTCCGGCGGCACAACGGCGACACCGGGACTGCAAGCTGCTCCTCGGCTATCACCGGCACACTCCACACCAGCACCCCCAGAGGAACCACCCCCAGAGTCTGCGAACGGGTGCTGCGACGACGGCGGCAGCGACACGGACGGCTGCAGCGGCGGCAGAGGCGGTGGAGGAGGGTACTGGGGAGGGGACGCCGGTGGAGGGGCGGCTGGCGAGGACTGCGCAGCAGGGCCACCAGAGTCAGAAGACTCCTCAACCGGGTCCACCGACGGAATGGGGGTGACGTGGGACACACTAGAGGGGGAAGGACGGGGAGGAGGAGGGGGAGGGGCAGGGACTACCGGGGAAGGAGTGACCAGGAACAGGGGGGGGTAACCGGGGGACCGCGGTGGGGGAAGCGACGGTAGTAAGAAACGGACTCGTCAAAGGTGACGTCGCGAGAGTGAAAGAAGCGGTGAGACGGCGGGTGGTAAAAGTGCCAGTCGGACACGTCAAGGGGAAAACCGAGGAAGACGCAGGGAAGGGTGCGGGCAGTGAGCTTGTCCGTGCCGGAGGCACGGACGTGAGCAAGGCAGCCCCAGACGTGAAACGCAGACGCGTCACCAATAGACCCAGTCCAAAGACGGGTCGGCGAAACCTGCGGCTGCTGGGGGTGCGGCCACAAGTTAAGCTGGTGAGAAGCGTAGCGCACAGCGAACGGCCATAGAAAATGGGGTGCACCGGCATGGATCATGGAGGTGCGAGCCACCTCCATGACCAAACCGATGCGTCGCTCAGCGACCCCATTCTGTTGTGGGGAGTCCGGTAGGGTGAACGTCTAGGTGATGCCCTCCGCACGACAAAAGCGACCAAGGACACCTGAGGCAAACTCGCCACCACGGTCGGAGTGAAGACGCAAGACAGGGAGACCGCGGTGGACACGCGCAGAGACAAGCCAGGGGATGAGGGCGCCAGGCACGTCGGCCTTGCGCTCTAGGGGAAAGACTGTTGTGTAACGAGTAATGTCGTCGACAAGCACTAGGAAGTAGCGCTCGCGACGTGGCCCAGGGACGGGGGCAGGGCCCCAGACGTCCAGGTGCAGGGTCTGCAGCGGCGCGGCTGTAGGGGGAAAAGAGGAGGAGTGAGGGGCACGGCGAAGCCTACCCTCGACACAAGGCGTGCAAGGTGGGGCTGGGGAGGAGGGAAACGCGGGGAGAGAACCTGGGAGACCAAGGACAAGACTGTGCTGGGACATGTGACGCAGACGCGGGAGCGCAGGGTGACCTAGGCGGTGGTGCCAAAGGAGAGTCGGGTGAGTGAGGGACCGACAGGAGCAGGCAGCAGCAACCTGGGTAGACGCAGCCACCTGAGGGAGCGCTCCAGCCTGGGGGGTCACGGTGTCCAGAGTGAACAGGCCGGACACCGGGTCCCGGGGGAACGTGGACAGGGGGGCACCAGTGGCGGCCTCGGTACAGACAGCATACCGCTCGTGACCAGGGAACGTAGTGGTGACGCCAAGGTCCTGGAGGCAGCCGACACCAACTAGGTTCCTGGAGGACGAGGGGATATGCAGACCTGTGAGGGTGCCTGAAGGAACCGCCGGACAGGGAAGGGTGGTGGAACTGCGGGCGACTACCGGACCGCCGGAGGGGTCAGCAAGAGAAACGGCAGCAGAAACAGGAAGCGGCGTCAGGGTGGTGGAGTCGCGGAAGAAACACCGGGAAGCGCCAGAGTCCAAGGTGAAGGAAAGCAAAGTAGAGGCGTCTGGCGACGGAACGACGACGGAAGCACCAAGACTACACAAAGCAGGGGATCCTACGCCTGACGCAGTAGGGGAGGCTAAGCTAGGCACACCTACACTAGCCGACAGTGAGTAATAAGCGGGAAGCACACTAGAGTCATCAGCATACATCACATGCAAAGCAGAAACAATGGCATCCATGTCCATGTCAAAAATCTGAATCTTACGACTAAGCAAATTGTGCCAGTCCGGGAGGTCTAGCGACGGGCCGAAGCGCTGACGAAACAGGTCGTCCAGGCGACGAAAACAGCGGGGAGTGGAGTGACCGATCTTACCGCAAACGAAGCCGCGGCGAGGACCGGTCTGGATCTGGTACTGACAACGCACGCCTCCAGAACCACCACTCGGCACACCACCACGCGCCCAACCACCGCCAGTGTCGGGCCACCCGGGCGGGAGTACACTCATCTGCCTCGTCTGCGGCGGCTGCTGCGAAGGCTGCGGCTGCTGCGACTGCGGCGGCTGCTGCGGCTGCTGCTGCTGCTGCGACTGCAAAGGCGGCGGCTCAGCTGGACTGGGCACGGTCCCCTCGTCCGCTCCAGCACCAGACGACCCGACTCCACCACCACCCCCTCCCGCACCCCCGCCTGCTCCGCCGCGCCCAACCTTGGGGCGGCGGCCCTTCCCCGAACGAAACTGCGCAGCAGCAGCAGTCTCAGCCACAGCGGCAGAGCCGTCGGAGAAGGTACACTGAGCGGAGGCACAACCCTGAAAGATAGGGACCGGC